TTGTGTGCTGTATATCTGTGTGCATGTATTACATACGTTTAATGTGTGTATTTGTCTTTATGTGTAAGATGTATGGGTAAATATGTATATATATATTTAACAGGTGTATATATACCGTATTTATGTGAGCGTGTGCGTAGAGTCTCGAGTATCAAGGAAAAATATTTTTCCCCTTAAATTTCCTTTCGCGTGTGAAAGCTGAAGTCACCTTCCTGAAGGAACGTTCTTCTTTCCTTCCCTTTCTTCCTTATTTCTTCCACGAGCTTGAAAAACTTTTTTCTCTCTCTCTTTCCTTTTCCTCTTATGTCTGTCTTCTCTATAAGTCTTTGGAGAGTGTGAGAGAGAGAGAGAGAGAGAAAGAGACATTCGATGCCCACGGGGATTCCTAAGAAAAGTTGCGTACTTTAGGGGTTGTTCCTCCACGCCTTGGTTTTGCCTTTCCCCTTCGAATTTCATACTTCTTCCTGCAAACGCATCTAACTTGCCTTTCTCTACTTGCTGCTGCTTCCTTTCTTCCTGTCTGACCATTACGATATACTTCTTTTACTACTTTACTGCATCTACTCACGCAATATTTTTCCACATACAATTGTTTTTTATTTTTGTATTTTTTAATGTATTAACAAAAGAAACGATTGCGTTATATCATGTTCTTATAGAACGAGATATTATTTGTTATATATTTTTTTCGGCTAATTATTATAACAATTATTACGCGCGTTCTAAATGATACGTTGCATCGTTCTCTACGAACAATTAAATTCATTATTCCATCTTTTAAAATACTATTGAGCTAATTAATTTCTACGATTTTATAAATTAATCGATAAAATGACGAATCTAAGAAATATAAATACTAAAAAAAACAAATAAAAAATAATTAATTTTGTATAACGTGTGTGTGTATGTATGTTATAGTTGAAATGAGATAATACATGTTGATATATTGATATGATATTTATATTTTGCAGAAAAATATTGTTACCGATAAAAAAACGTTTTAGAAAGTGACAGGAAAGGAAAAAGAGAGAGTGTGTGAGAGAGAGAGAAAGTTTAAGTGAAGGACAGGAAAAGATACGTTCATTCGATATGGAGCTTTTGACCAGACCATAAACGTTTATTGCCTCTAGTCCTTCCGGTCGTTTCCTGTCTCCTTGAAGTAGGGAGAGAAGAGATACGTCCCTTTTTCCAAAGACCATCGACACACGCCCATTTGCACTTACCTTCTCACCCCCCCCCCTCTCTCTCTCTCTCTCTCTCACATACTCTTTCCTTCTTTTTCTATTTCTTTCGCGGTTTTATCGTTTAGCTTGCGTGTACTTTCTCGCCTGTTAATACTTTTCTATATATATATTATAGATCTTTATTATCTTTTATGTGTTTGTTCTTTTCTTAAATGGATCGTATATTACTATACACAATACCTTTCTTCTTTTGTATATATGTGGAATATCATAATTAAATTTCATTGTTCTCATCTCGACGATGTTTTAACTCAGGTGACATTCTTATCATTTATTCAGTTTCATTGTCGAATTTTATTTTAATATTTTTTTGGAAGGAATTTAAATCATATTAAATGTTAAAAGTTTAATGGTTAGGCGTAATTTTAATTCATTTTATTTTTTATTCTAATTTATTCTTATACTTTATTTTAATATATTTTTGTAAATATATATTTCTTGAAGATACTTTAATCATTTTAAAGGTGAAAGTTTAATGGTTAGGTGTAATGTTTTGATATTAATTTAATTTAAATAGTTTTAGTTTTATTCAATTTCCTTCTTATTCACACATGACTATATTGTTTTAATGTCAATGTTTTCATTCTCAATTAATATTTTAATTATTTATTATAAGTTTTATTTTTATTCAAAGATACGCGATGAAGTAAACGGAATCGGATGGGTGGGGGGAAAGAAGGAAGAGTATTAATCTTAACAATGATCTAATTCCATCAGTTCTTTCATATATTTCGAGGTGAGAGAAATCATAAAGGGTTTTGTAGAGTGTGTATAGTCCAAAGGATGGAAGAGGAGCGAAGTGGTGAAGGGGTGAAGGGTGGAAGGGTTCTACCAGTCCACAAGCAGTAAGCTCGATGGGTTTTGTCAGTGGGAGAAAGAGCTTTAAGGTCGACAACAGAGAAAGAGAGAGAAAGAGAGAGAGAATTGTGCCGGTGGTAAGCTAATATTACGGTGCCCCGCGGCGAACTGGAAAATTTCATTGAAACTTCCATTATTCATTCGCAAAACAGAGCTTTTCGAACGACCCTGTCTATTTCTATTCTCTCTCTCTTTATTATTTTTTCTTTTTGTACGTATCTGCGTAAGCCTGTGTCTCGTAAGTTTTGATCACTCAACAGAATTTTATCAATAATCGTTAATAATCTTCATTTTTGTTGATCGTATTTTTTATTATATTAAGCCTTTCCTTTTTATAACGTTTAATTATTTTTTGGATGATTTATTTCAATAAATAACAATCAACGTTTTAATTATTTTAATATTCTTCATTTTACACTAATTCAATGTTGTTTTTTCTTTCTGATAAATTTGTCTCTTGAAGTTTTGATAATATAATTAAAAGATACACCAAGCATATAGAAAATGTGTTTTCTACACATTGGGGGTTCATTGTATAGCAAAGAAAGAAAAAATGTACTCCTTTAGAAATACTTCTTTACTTATTTTTTTCGTCGTTTTTCGTCGTATGTACGCGACAGAGGAAACTACATTTCCGTTTAGTCGGCTTTAACAGAGTCAAAGAAAGACTCTGCTGGACCCTACACGTTTACAAGAGACGGAATAGGAGAAAGGGATGCAGCTACGAAAAAGCAATTTTCTCGCGAAATTCTTTTCTCCTTTGGTATAGTTCAACATCTGATCGATCGATCGAATAGAAAAAGAGAGAGAGAGAGAGAAAGACCTTTAGAGATCTTCCATCACGATCTCATATTTTTCCTTTCTCATCCTATTTTATTTTTCCGTTCTGATCTTTCAATATTTTTATCATAACGTTTGATATTTCATTCCATTACCCTTTTCATAGATCAAACACTCGATCGGTTAATTTATTTATTATTCCAGTCAATTTTGATTGGATAATATTAGATTATTATAGATCATTTGAGTAAGAGTATGATGATGATTCGAGTTAAACGTTTCGTAATAAAGTTTTCATCTTAAGTAATAGGTACATAGAGATAATGAATGCAACGTAAATTACAACCGAACGATTATCTTGAGCAATCACATTTGTGAAATGATCGATCTTCTTCTTATCCCTTCTTATGTTATATATCTCTATAATATCTTTTTTTTTAAGAAGAAAGAATAAAAGAGGATAGAAACAAAATTCGATCTAACTTTATATCCGAAACATTTTCTTATTTTCGACCCTTCGCGTCTCGCAAAAAAAGTCACACCGATAACTTCAAATTTTGTTTTTTTTTCTTAACTACAGTTCCTTCTTTTTTTCTTTCTTCTTCCCTTCCTTCTTATTCCCCACTTAACGACATCTTTTTTATACGTTCGTTCGTAATCTCAACAACCCTTTTTAAGTACTTTTCAAATTTTGTATATATCACGATGAAAACGTTATTTTAATTACGATGCTCTTCAATAAATTTGTAATATATATATAATAATAATAATAATAATAATATACGTTTCCATTTCAATTGAAGTTATTTTATTTATTATTACAAAAAAAAAAGAAAAAAACAAAATGCAAAACATGCATACGTATATATGCGCGTATATATGAATGAATTTAGTTATTATATAATTTAGTATAATCATAAAAAATTCAACCCTTCTATATTTCAGTTCCATTTCCTATAATATTTGTATTGTATAAGAAGATATTCTATCTCTCTCTCTCTCTCTCTCTCGTACTCTAATATTCCTTTACTTCCTCGTTCCCTCTCACGTCCCTCTTTACTCAAGCATAGAAGGAGAAATGGCATGTGAGGTTTAAAGAGTAAAAGAGAGAGAAGTTAGAGTGAGAGTGAGAGTGCAGGAAACGTACATAGGCCCCCGTAAATCCATTTATTTATTTATTTATGTGCCACGGGGGGCTTTGCCAAGCGAAGGGTAGGTGGACGAAGGATGAAGGGTGTAGTAGTAGTAGTAGGGTCTGGCTTATGGTATACCATCTAGCAAGCAAGCAAGCAAGCAAGCAAGCAAGCAAGCAAGGAAGCAAGCAAGCAAGCAAGCAAGCAAGCAAGCAAGCAAGCATGCATCGGCCCAAGAATCCCATGGGAACGTGCGAAGCGTGCTAGACACGCGGGGGAAAGATCGCAAAAGTCACCAAGGACACACCCGGATATTCTACGAATATCTACTAGAGAGAGAGAGAGAGAGAAAAGGGATGCTTACAATGGCGTAGGACCCAACCGTTACGGAAGGTAAATTCTCTCGAGGCATGGTAGTGGCTTAAAACGAAAGTGCTGTTGTGCCACTTAGTCCGATAAAAAAAAAAAAGAAACAAAGAAAAAATTCACCATGCTTGTCTTTCTTTATCAGTTCTTTTTTTTTATCTTTCGTTCTCATTTTCTTCCTTTGTCTCCTTTTATATTATCTCTGTGTGTATGTCTTTCTTTTTCTTTTTCTTTTTTCGTTAGAATATTTAATCAGACAGCAGAGATGGTATATTTTAAAGTAACTTATATCTTATTTAAATAACGCTTTTTTATTCTTAATATGGACAGTAAAGAGTGACGGGTGTGTTGGGTTGGAATTGTTATTTAGAATTTAAAAGAAAATGTTGGATTAAGCATTCATTTTGAGTCATTCCAAAATGTATCCCATTAAAAATTAAATGTCATAAGTTTCGATATATGTATATCGTATATGAGTATGAGTAATGTAGACTTACAAAAAAAAAATGTAATTAATTGTTTAATAATTGTCACTTTAAGTTTGCATGAAAATTTCCTCTCTTGGAGATTTTCGTTTCTGTTACCGATTAAATTGAAATAATCTTAAAAATCAACTTACCCAATTGGCCATTTTATGTCTACGTTCCAGAAGATGTTGCTGCAATTTTGGTCCAGATCCAGATAGGAATCCTCTTACTAAACTTCGTGTCTTTTCCAGATGATTCGGTACTATCACTTCAACTTGTGCTAAATATTTCTGCATGGTAGTTTCCAAGTCTGGGACTGGAAGACTGGGTAGAGGTTCGATTCTCTGCAACGATAGATACAATTTTTCTCATCGATAATATATTTAAAGAGTATAAATTAATTAATTATTTAAAGAAGTACTCAATGTGCGATATAAGTTTATCCGATTTTTAACGTTTCCATTATTCTCAAAATTACTTGGATTTTTTCTTTTATGGTAACGTTTTAAATTTATTTTAAATAAATTCAACGTGGAAAGATATTTCTGCGTGGTATCGTTTGCAGAGAAATCTAGAATTAAAAGTTATTCTCGGGTAAAGGTGGAATAATATTTCCAAAGTAAATGTTACAAAAACAATCGATTATGCAGTTTCAATACAATAAACGGAAGAACCTCTTTGATTCAATCTAATAGTATTGTTCGAGTTAAAAGTTCTAGGTAAAAGTTTTAGGTAATCGTAGGAAGAAGAAAAAGAATAAAAAATAAAACAACATGGATATACCCTCGCACCTAAGGGAATGGGCGGAAAGATAAGCATCTAACGTCCTTATCCCGCACGACGTGTTCCGCGGTCCTCCGGAAAGAAGGCCACGAGCGATTGTAAAATAAAGAATCAATTGAGAAACGAAGCGTGTCTCTCTGGATAGAGGAAGAAGAGCCCTTAGGGCTAGCACGCTTCGTTGATCAGAATCCCCTTTCGCCGCGGCCTAACAAGACCAACTTTGTGACCCGAACGAACGCACACACACCTACGCACCAATACAATCGCGTAAGCCCAGTTGAGTCCACTACACCCTTCTTTCCTTCCGATCCTTCGGCTTGAATTTTTCTCTTCAATGATCGAGAAAGGACACGGAGAAAAAGAGAGGACGAGAAGAAGAAGAAGAACAAAAAAAAAGATAAAAAATGAATATTCCTGTTCACGGGGGAAGGAAAATAGTTCGAACAAATTTTTAATTGTTACTTTGCTTCTTTTTACTCTTTTTTTTTTTTTTTAATAGATACGTTCCAATTGGGGAATAGTATTTTCGTTGACCGATGATTGAACGATCGATCAATTTAGTTATTCCGTTTTAATGACAATTTTATAAATTCTATGGATCGTAGTTTTTTTTTATGGAATTATTGTCCAACTGTATAGTAGAAATACTTTTACGGAGTTTATACAAAAAATTGGCTAATCAATGGACAAGTCTATGAAATTTCAAGTCAATGACGAATGAGTTAACGAAAATGTTTGAGTAAAGAATCATTTTTTTTTTTTCGAATCGCACTCGACGAGAATTATATTTCAACCCCTTAACGTGACACTTTAAAAAGAAAAAAAAAATACAAATCCTACGATTACAAATATATTGGAAGAGATAAATCAAGATAAACGATTTATTCCGAGCACGAAAGGAATCCCGTAAGAAATCGTCCTTTTAGGGTGTAACAACGAGTAAGAGATTATCGCTTAAGTAAGCAGCATGATGAGTCAGTTAGATTCGTGTTGAAAAATTCTAGTTGCGTTTCTCTAAAAAGCAACCCCTCGAAATTCACGCATATATATATATATATATATTTCGCAAGATACGTTAGGTTATCTAGCTAGCTAGCTAGCTAACTTCTTTCGTTCCTTTGGTATAACGGGTGTCCGTATTCCCATGAGATTTTCGTTCCCCTTTTTTCCTATAGAATAGTAGAGGAGGCTTGACTCTCATTGATATGCACCGCTGGAAACTTTACTAACGACCTCATACGCACCGACCTGTTCTATAACTCCCCTGCTGTATTCTGATGCTGCATCATTTTATTTTCTATCCTTTTTTTTATTATTTTTTTTCTTTATTCTTACTCCTACAATAGAATTTTCATTCTATTAAAAAAGAAAAATGTTCGAATCATCTCGAAATCTTTGTACGTTTCGTAAAAAAAAAAACATAGTTAAATAGTTATTACTATAAGACCGTTTGATATTTTAACATTGAAACACTTTGATAACTTAGAGAGGAAACTATTTTTTTCTACTTTTATTACTTTTTTTCTATTATCGTTTTGTTTTTTTTTGTACACACTTTTAAAATACACTTTGAACTAATAAAGATATGTGTGTGTGATTATACGAACGATAATGTTCGTAGTTTTGACGAGCGTGATATAGAGTAAAATTTGATATATATATATATATATATATATATATATATATATATATAAAATAATTAAACAATAATTATTCTTACTTTGAACGATAGAGAAATAATCTCTCTATTAAATAATTCTTGACTATTGTATAAACAAAGTGTTGCCATATTGTAGATCGATGAATATTGTTATTGTTACGATGTAAGATGAATTATACTAACAATAAGTTACATTTTTCTATGTTAAGATTTATATACTCCGAAATGAAGTTATAAATTTCACTTATCTAGAACAAATTTATACGTCACTCACGTTTATTTTTCTTTTTTGTTAAAAACAAAAATAAAACATAATACTCGAGACAATAATGGGCACATAAAAAATTTCTACACAATTAAATGTAAAAATATTCTGACACCGTATAAAAAACAACTAAAAAATTAATATTTATCTATATAATATTTAATTGATTAATATTTTATTATTATATTATTTATAATTATAATATTAATATTTATATATATCTTTTCCATTGACATTAATTAATTAGGATTATTTAAAGAATTATTATTAGCTAGCTGACCCATTCTAATTCGTATATTGATTGGCGTAATTAGGTGTAAATATAGTTAGACGGGGGGGGGGTGGTGGTGGTGGTGGTAGGATATCGTAATTCAAAATGCTTCAATAGTTTCGATCAAGCACCCTCGTTTGTCCAATTCGATAATAATCAATCGGACGTGCCTGCTATTCGAGCTTACTGAATTCGAAATAATTTCCTCGACCAGAACCAGAGTCAGAGTTAAAGCCAGTAAGAGAGAGAGAGAGAGAGAGAGAGAGTCCTTTTTCTTTTTTTTCCCCCTTCTTTTCTCTCTTTCATAACGACCCTTATTCGTGTCTGCATTTCCATTCATAATAGGAATTTTCAAAGCTTGCTTTTTTTTCACCTTTTTTTTCTCTACTTATCGATACACGCATACACATAAATATATTATATGTAATCAGAGTAAAAGGGTGTATCGTAATAAATAATTTCAAAGGTTTATTTTAATTAAACAAAAAAAAATTAAATTCGTTCAATCGACATCGTTAATTATAAATAACGATATTAAATATAAATAATTTCATTTTTGTTACTAGACAAAAAGTATACTATATGAGTAGATGATAAAATAAAGGCGCAGAAAATTATAAAAAAAAAACAAACTTATATAATATAAATTTCATTAAATTAAAAATTTGTAGTAATTCTTTTAAATAAGGAAAAAGTATTTAACAAGGAGAGTGGGGAGGGGAAAAGGTTAAGATGATCTTTGATGATGATGATGTCACTTCAAAATAACGTATTACAAATTAAAAAAAAAAAACTTTAACGCGTCTATTCTTCCATTTGAGTAAAGCAATAGCAGCAGCAGCAACAGCCAGCACCTTGCAATCTCTCGTTGAAATTCCCAATGGACTTGGGTTTGGTACAGCCCCCACCACCACACACTCGATATGCAAACAGAAACGATAGAAAGAGAGGAAAGATTCAAAACGTAGTTCGCGTACGAAGAAGGGGGTCGTCGTCGTCATCGTCGTCGTCGTCGTCGTCAATACGAAGGGTGGAAACATCGTAGGCCTCGGGGATGGTACGTTTTGGTTCTGCCAGTAACAGAGAGAGGGTGAAAGCAACAGAAACAGAGTGGAAGAGAGATGAGATGAGAAGAGAAGAAGAAAAGGGTGGGGTCCAGGGTGGGGTCCAGGGTGTTACTAATTGGAGGGGTGACGAGGGAGGAAACCTTGTTATCTCTTAATTGCTGCTACCCTCCGCACTGTTTTGCATCGATAAGAAGTACTGGCACTCAAAATTTCCTTTCTCTCTCTCTCTCTCTCTCTCAACTTTCATTCTATTCTTTTCTTCAATCCCAGAACGACCACGTTAAATTTCATGGTTTCTACGTTCTGACCTTTTCCACTTCCAATCTCCCCAGAACAAAATGTTTTCCCCTAGCCAAAGGTCACTAGGCGTGTCACGAATTGCCGTCTCATAATCCTTATCTCTGTTCTTTTGTACTCGTTATAACTGTGTTGGTGTATATACAACTTTGACTTTTTTTATGAGTTTCTATTCTTTCATAAATTTCTTTTTATGTGTTTGTTCAGTTAAAAATATTTAAGATTAAATTCTTTATTTATATATTTTTTTTCTTTTACTTTTTTTTTTGTTATCTTCAGACCTAGAAAGACCTAGCGTTAAATACGTTTTGTATTCTTATGTTCGTTTTATATATATATATATTTTTGTTCTTTTATGTCAGTTACAGAGTTCATATAATCGGGCTCACCGATCCCTTGGGAACACTTTGGCGTGTGCTTTGATAAACTCGACTCGGTCTTTACGTTCACTCTCTCTTTCTCTCTTATTCACTCATTCTCAAGGTGGTAGTCCTAACGTTACGGAAACCGGGGGTTGGTTGGTAAGTTTTCGATGGCTCCGGGGGTCACAAAGAGACGGAGGAACTCGTTTACTTCCAACCAACACCACAACACCAATACCCCCTCCCCCATACCGAATATCCTATACCTTTAGCATCGTTAGGATTCCTACGAGGAATCGTCGTCGTCTTCATTGGGTGTTCGTTGAAATTTCTCGCGCCAATTTCTTCCTCGTTGCTCTACTATTCTCTGATCTGATCAAAGTCGTCTTAAATATGCTTGAGAAAATCGTCCAAGGGAATTCTTCATCTCGCGTCGTCGGTGAGGAAAAAAAAAAATTAAAAAAAATCGTTTGCCTTTGAATATTCTCCTTTTTTTTCTTTTTTTTTTTTTCTTCTTCTTCTTCTTCTTTATTTATTAGTTCTCCGAGGAAGATTTTTTTTTCTTCTACAGAAACTCTCAGAAACTTCTCCCCTTTTTTATTCCCTTTTATTTCTTTCGTACGAATCCGTCGGATTTTT